CAGGAAAGGGAGAAGCGAAGGCGCCAAACACCGACGTTCGTACATGGTAACATTCCCCACGCGTGACTCCCATTTCCTAACGCTCTAGTAGCGCTAACTAGCTGGCTCCAGAGTCAGCATTAGTGTCCATTAGGACAGCGTTTGTCCACTCCTGTTAAGTTTGGTGTCACGCTCTTATCCAACTGCTGCCTTAGTAATTGCTAGTTACTCATTTTACACGTTAAAAGCCAATGAGTCAGCTAGCACCTGATGAAGAGCTGGTGCTGGCACTCTGGACTTTCAAGTCCTGTTTGATCACAATATATTGCTGCTTCCTTCTGTGTGAGCGAGACACCTGCACTAAAAATAATCTGGGTAAGATGGCAGCTCTGTAAAGGCTGTGATTTGACACAGTTGTAAATTAGCGAAACGGCTCTAGTTGACTGACAACGGCTCTAAGTGAAGAGCACACTAAATCATCTCGAATGACAGATGGGCATTTTTAAGAGTACAACATGTCGAGAAACAATCACATAAATGCGGTGTTCCCCCTGTCTTTTCCCCCACGGATATGCTGAGATATGTTAAGAGCATAGGCTGTGGTGCATTTAGATCTATAAAATTATATCTCCTTCCTACTTCGTGCTCGTTTGCCTGCTCTTAAAGGGTCTCCAAAGCACCACCGTTTCTGGGCAGATGCCATAGGACCCCACAAGCTATTTAAAACCTTCCTATATAGCTTCTTCTCTCCATTCTGCATTGTCATCTGGAGAACATCTGCTTGTGGTTGCAGAGGAACTTAGTCCGGAGTGAGGGAAATGGATGGAGGACCACATCGGAACACAGGGAACTGGCCATGAAACAGGCCTGAGCCAGCCAAAACTGTGTGGGCTGTGTCAGAGAATTATCTAATTATTCCAGGACACATGGTTCGTTTTATCCTCTTTGCTGCTTCCTGGCTCCACCTATTAAAGTTAATTCAAAGCCCTGGTCTAGCAGCCGTGTATTTCTTATGTGCTTCTTGATCTGCTATATGCATTTATCATCCACACTTAAACAATTTTTTCCTGCCAGTTCTCTTGACAGCGATCTTCTCTGTGGTTTGTTTGGGGTTTGGGTTTTGTTTTTTAAATTAGTATGGAGCTTTTGGTCCTCAATTCTTGTATGAGAATTTTAAATTAGAAAAATATTGATTTCAAAAATTCCAATCCTATTTGTGGCACATTACATATTTGATACCGTAAACAAATTACCTCTCTGTTGGGTTCTCATATGCTGGGATCTGATTTTGTCTACATGACCATTAAATAGATAGGCAAACCTTTTGATCATAGCTGCTCATGTAAAGTGAAACAGTTGCAACTTGGAGGGCTGATGCTAAAAAAAACACCAACAAATTGTAAGGGACTTCTTGAGATCATCCAGTTCAATCTCTAGCAGTGACTGGAAGCAAACCATATTTTTCCATGACCCACTGATTTAAAGAAGTTTGTATTACTATATATTTGTGTCCTAATCCATCTGCCTCTCTTCCCATCTGTTTCCCACTCCCCTGTTGCCCACAGCCCCTGTGCCTCCTCTCTGGCTGTTGCAGCTTCACCCCCCCCAGGTCCCCCAGCCTCTGCCCTTCTCCTGCCTCTCACCTTCCCATCTGCTGTTTACACCACCTCTCTTTATTCCCTCCAGCAATATTCTCCTCTCTGGGCAAACTCCACACACACAGGAGTATTTCTATGCACGAGTGTCTCTATAGCCTAGAGCTCTGTGTGAGTGTGGACAGGCCGGCTGGCTACCGGGAAGGGAAGGGCAATCAAATTACTTTGCAAGCTACGTGCTTTGCAGACCTGCAAAGGGAAACGGTATTTGGAAATCCCTTGCTGCTCTACCAAAATCTATTGGAATAGGCCAAATGTTTCTAAAGCCTGCAATGCTAATTCACCGGTGCTTCAGAGCCGTCCATGCCTGCAGAGCATTCACCCCGTGCCCGGCAGCTGCGTGAGTGCGATGCAGACAGTGAACCAGGATCCAAACCAAGGTCAAGTGCCAAGCCTCGGTGATCAAGATTTAGTATGAATCAGGGAAGATAAATTAGACTCACTGCTTATCTTACTTTCTCTCGCCAAGGTGGGGCTATCTGTGGCTATTCATACGAAAATATCCATGTTTTTCTATTTTAAAAAGAAGACAATAAACTGTTGTTAAAAGAAAAAAAAAGAAGGAAATGTGTCTAAGCTGAGTGGTATTTCCTGACTGGACATTTACTAATTTACTGTTTAATGATGATTAATGCGATCTTGACAGTCAGTTACGGATACATAATTTTTTTTGATTCACTGTTAGACAAAGAAAAATGCTCTGTTGTCCAGAGTCTGTGTGAATAAGCAGATCACTCGACAGATAATATGCTTTGGGGATAGACCAATTATCTCTTTAAAAGGTTAGTGGCTAGTCCTCTCACCATACTCAAGGTCTGCCATCTCATTTACTAGATGTAGGTACCTATAATGTTAAAAACTCTTAACTTGTTCTAAACAAGTCACCACTTCTGAAAGCTTGGTTCAAATTATCACAGCAGAGTGCATTATCCCACCTGTACATATGGGCCCTGCTGACCGATGGGGGCATTATCCCCTTATCTTAAAAAACTGAGTAGAGATAAAGCCGCCTTCCTAACAGAAAAAGCGCTCATATTCTCTAAACTAGATTATCCTTTCAGCTAAGAAGTTCATCAGGTTTGGTGACCAAACACAAATTCTACACTTGTAACGCAATGAATGTGCTTTCAATCCATCCCAGCGCTTGGCTGCACGATGACGCCCATCAACCCTGGGAACTGGGAACGTGCTGAGTCTTTGCGTTGAAGCAACTGGAACCATGCCAGCGATAGGTGTTGTCATCAAGGTTTGTATGTGTTGGCTGAGATGAACCCTTCTGAGGAAAGCATCCAGGCTGTTTCCAGAGATCACGCGCCAGCAGAGCCTTGAAGAAAGTGTAAAGGTCGGTGCTGCTCAGGCAGGAGCTGTGAATTGCTATGTGCTCACTTATCAGTCACACGGGCAGTGCGGGGCAATACCCTGATAGCACAGCGGTATCGCAGTTCTCCGTGCAGAGCTCTGCACGCTACCAGGGTTACTGGGAATCGATAGCATGATACAGCAGCATCCGCACACCAGGCTTGTGCCTTGGGAGGCCTGACCCAGCGCAGCCATCCCATGCCTCTTTTCTCTGCCTCCCCTCCCTTCTTCCTTGGCTTGACAGCACTGCTTGTGTGAGCCACCTTGCTCCAGCAGCGGGGAAGGGCTGGAGGCAAGCTGGACTTGCATCCCGCTCCCTAGCAAAGTAGTGTTGCCTGAGCAGAGCTGGGGAGGGCTGTGCAGTACCATACCCTCCGCAAGAAAGGACATGATGAGAGATGTGCAGTGAGACCCCAACCTTCAGGGCAGAGGTCCTTACACTCTTAGAATCACAGAATCATCCAGGTTGGATAAGACCTTTAAGATCATCAAGTCCAGCCATTAACCTAACCCTGCCATCCCCCCACTAAACCATGTCCCTAAGCACCTTGTCTGCCCAGCTTTTAAATCCTTCCAGGGATGGGAACTTGACCACTTCCCTCGGCAGCCTGTTCCAATGCTTGACAACCCTCTCAGTGAAAAAATTTTTCCTAATGTCCAACCAAAACCTGCCCTGGCGCAACTTGAGGCCATTTCCCCTCATCCTATTGCCCATTACCTGGGAGAAGAGACCAACACCCACCTCACTGCAACCTCCTGTCAGGGAGTTGTAGAGAGTGATGAGGTCTCCCCTCAGCCTCCTTTTCTCCACGCTAAACAACCACAGTTCCCCTCAAAAAAGATGGAGCCTCAAAGAATTCCTCAACACTTGTGCCTGTTCCTGTCCATGGAAAACTTTAGTAAAAGGAGAAACATTTATACCATCTGAAGAGAAACCAGAGTATTGGTACACTGCAGCTTCTCTCTGTGAGTTGGCTTCTCAGCAGACAAGTCTTAGGCCCTCAGTAAGCTCAGGCTGGTATTGGAAGTGAAGTTAGAAAGGAAAAGAGAGGTGCTCCTTCTCCCATAGAGTCCCCCAAGATCCCCGTCTGCCTCTTGTCCAGAGGTTTAGTATTATTGCTGTTTTCAGTGTTATTTTTCATTTTAGTATGTATAGCTTGAAAGTGCACATGTCCATTGCTAATTTAGACCTGGCACGCTGAGTTTGCAAATGACTGGGACAGCAATTAAAATGCATCCAGTAGTGACACGGTGGCAGATGGAGACCTCACAAACAGACCTCTCAAACATGTAATGATTCCAAAGCTACCCTTTAATATTACCTGTATAACAGCTGCACAACACATTATATAGAACTGCACTCTCTCTCTATGTTCATGGATATGTAAAAAATGGAGAAGGAGGACCTGGAAGACAAGGGGAGACCAGACCTCTTACAATCCCTTCCATTCCTTACCAAAAAATCCAGAAGAAAGCTAGTGTAGCCTCCAAGTAAGTTTTCTGGAGCCCATATGTCCAGAGACAGTTGCTAAAGCAATTGCTGAGCAGATCTTCTGGCATCTATGTCTATTGGTGATGCACAGAAAGTCAGGGCTCAGGAAGAGAGGACTGAGACTGACTCTGGGTCTGCTGTTCCCCATAGTCGCAAGTCTGGAGACAGTGTCCTGGACTGACCGATATTTACACGAGTGCTTGAGATCTGCTCATATTTTGGAGGATCCTGGAAGTAGATAGGGGTTTCTTCTGAAGCACTTCTGGCAAATTCTGTTCTCTGGCATGGACGGCCTACAGGTAGGTATTTTCTAAAGTTACTCCAGAGAGATGTTTTTGGCATACCAATATTAAGAAAATGTGTCAAGGGAATGCTGATAAGGCTTCAAAGCATAACTAAGAGGGGTGTGAAAGACGTGGAAAAACCCCACCTTTTTTAATTCTGATTTCACACACAACCTACTTACTACTAAAAATAAAATTAGTAGTAAAATTGCATTTGATAACAGCGCACCTTTATGCCATCAATGAATTTCCCTGGTTGTTTTGAGAAGGACGGGAAATGCTCTGAGAGACACGAGACTGGGAAAAATTAAATCTTTCACTAACATAAAATTTGCTTTTTTAAAAATCATACTTAAAGCAGCATTTAAACTTTTAGTTTCTTGTTTTATGTATAAACTGTATGAGATCAGGGGAGGATTGGTGCTACTGGCTGGTGTCACAGGACTTCTAGAAGGTAATTACGGAGTTTGGTGAAAAAAGCAGCTTAAGTGTGTAGAAGAACCTGAGTGACTTCAGTGGAGAGGGGAAGCCTGGAAGTGGTTTTTATTTAGTTTTTAAATCAGACTCCTCTGAGGGTGTAACACCACTGCTTTGTCACTGTATATGGAAGCGGGTCACCGTAATTTAGGTGTACAACAGGCAGAGGAAGGAGGGGGAGCTGCTCCCCTAAAACCAGTGCAACTCAGTTCATATTCCTGCCCCAGCTGCTAATTTGCATGAACACTTTCCACACAACTCCTTTAGAGCAATAATTTTGTTATATCCCATAATAGTGATGTGATTCACACGTACAGAACTATTGCCATTCTGTGATGAGAGAACTGAGATTCAGAAAGATTTAATTTGCTGGAGTCAGATGGCACACCATCATGAAAACCATGATCAGGACCTCAGTTTTTCATTGCTAATTCCATTTCTAATGAGTTACTTGTCCTTGGAATGAGGGTAATGATAGAGACAGAAGAATCTACTCTCTAACTGTCATAACACAAAGCCGGCATTCAATTTGTTATATTCTCATTCATCGAGGTATGGATGTGCGCCTAATCTGTGAAAGCATTTGGTCCAGTCATTAGACTACTTGCTTCATGAGTGTGAATTTACCTACGAGGCCAGTTTCAAAAGGAGGAAGCCCAGGAAGAAATGGGAGGGAATGGTGTTGTGTTGACAACCTCAGGGGGCTTGTAGTCACCTGCTACCTGTGATGTGGTGTCATAGGAAAGAATGAATGGCCTCATTTTTCAAGTTCACAGTCTTTCAAGTCACGTGACAACATTTAAAAAATCCCAGGCATGGGATTCAAATCATTCCTTAGCCACCCTTTCTCTCAGTTTCAATGATCTTTCAGTTTCAGTGCATTAAGTTTGTCTTTTCCGCCTTGACATTTTTCCTTTAGACCCTCAATAATCCTTGCTTCACGCCTTGCTCCATTCCCACTTAGCACTTTTTGACTGATAAAAATAAAATAAAATGAAACCCCATACAGTTATAATTTGAGTAACCCAAGGCCCATGTCAAATCATATCTCTTCACTGATAATGAGCACACCAGATGTTAAAAATGAAAAAACTCCCTAGTAAGAAGGTGATCTGTCCCCTCGTAAAGGTTCGTTTTAATCTCAAATGGTTACAGGTTGCCGTGAAGTAGCAGGTTTTATAACACTTCCAAAGTTTTTGATGGGGTTAGCTGGTGAACATCAAATCCTTCCTTGAATCTTACTAAACCAGTGTTACGTGTTAGGTGTTTCCTGAGCCACCTTCTTACCTCCTCTCCTTAGTGATCCCTCCCTCCCTCTTTCTAAGATATTTTTTTTGGCTGGGCCTGGCACTGGACTATTTGAACCCACTTAAACCTTTTAGCACCATTGTCACAGAGAGTCTTTAGCTTTGGAAATCTTACCCTTGTTAGAACCCTGCAGCTGCGGTATTTATACACTGTTGCATGAGGCGGGGTGGTTGTGGTTTAAAATATGCGCAGCCGCAGGCAAGACGCCAAAGTCTACAGGGTTTAGGCTGTCCCCAACTAATTGAACTCTCTGCTAAACTGGCGAGTTATCAAAGTAGCTGGGGTTTGACATCTCAGCAACCTTGTAATAGTGTAGACCTAAATCATGTGAAATTTAAGGCCAATGGGGATAAGAGGGAATAGTTCAGGTTGTTTGGGGATGTTTTTTTGTGGTTTTATGCCCTTCCCACAGGTAGCTTTTCGTTGTGCTAATAATTATTTATTTGAAAACTCACTTTGACTCTTGTCTTTTGAGATGTTTGAGTGGTTCAACAGCTGCAAAAGTCTCCAGTGACCATCAGTGAAAATGGGGTGAGTGTGCCGCTTGAGTACCTACGATTTCCCCTACTTATGTGAGCAGAGAGGGCAGTATCCCTTAGGACGGCATGGGCAGTAGTAAACATGCCTTGGGATTCATCCTGGAGGCTCGGGCAAGGCTCCCTCCACCCCAACCCCGTTCAGGAGCTAGTATGGCCGGTTAGCCTTTGCCGGGAGAGGCAAGTGGCAGGTACATGGTCCAATGTTGCCCTGGAAGGTCCGGGTGATGCCAGGACTCCATAAAGCTCTGAAGGCAGAGTCTCAGCCCCTTCAAAGTGTGGTGGCTAATCCTGACCCCAACAGTGGAGTCAGGCAATTTGTCACTGCCTCTGCCTTCCCTTGCCCCTCCTGCAGAGACGGGGCCACTGCCTGCAGGGCTGGGATCTCTTGCCGGTTGCAGTTACTGCGGTATGCAAAAGATTCCCCAGATGAAGTGTAAAGGAGCTCACAAACACAGCTGTAAAATTAAGTGCTGCGGTGCCGTAAATATCTGTTTTTAATAGCGCATGCAGTATTAAGTTTCCCTCTTGAATGAACAATTTATTTACAGCCTCAACACCAAGTTAATGACTTCTTCTGTCTAGAAATTAGGCATATTTATATAGTTTCAATATGCTCACAGCAAATGCTTTCAACCCTTGTTATTGCTCAGAAAATTCAATTATCTTGTGATTCAGAATTTTCCTGCCCTTTAGGTAGTGAAGGACAACAGGCAGGACCATCAAGCCCTTTAATTTCTTGTTTGTGTAAATATTAATCTATTTTATTTCCTAAGTAGGCTCAGCAGCTGTGGTAAAATTTACTCCATCTCATCGCTCTGCCCCAGCTGTGCTTGGTACTTTCGTGTGTGAGCGCCTAACGGGTGTTTCGTTACTATTGCTGATTTTTTTTTATATCTATGGCTATTTCTACAGAAGTGATTAGGAAATAAGTTTGGATAATGAAATTTGAGTGCAAGATATACATGGTTACTCAGAATTGCTTTCCAGTGTCAGACATCCCATTATCTGTGTTTTAATGGAACATACCCTCTCCAGCCGCACCCTGGGGGGTGTTATCTGCAAGGGTCCCAAGAGAGTCCTCTCATTCATGGACAAACATCACGATGATGTACAACAGGCCTGGTCCAACACCAAAAAAAGAAGGGAAAATGAGCCTATTTTCTGGAAATGACTATCGCTATCTTCACCTCATCTTGTGTTTTCCAAGGCTTGTTACACTTCTTTAATATCTGCTGGAGCAAAGGGAAGGAAAGCGATAAGGGCTTTCTATTTTTATGACCAGAACGCTGACTTGGTTAGCATGCAAATACAGTATCTCTGTGCACTTCTTGTCTATCTAACCTTCAGGCCACCCAGGATATCATAGTATGCTGGCCAATAATATAGGGGATTCAATAGGAAAGATTTGCAGACTGACTTGGTGATACTTGGCTTGCATTTTGAAGTACAACTTAATGGACATGTGATTAAAAGCTTTCATGACTGTAAGAGGAAGCTTGAGTGTGTGATTCAGGTGCAAAAATATCTGAAGGAGGGCTCGATATATTTTGTTTTATTGTAGCTGTCATAAATTTTACATTGTCATGGTTTTGAAGCACCGATGTACGATTTTTATTTTTACATTTGAGGTTGCAAATGCTATTGTTAGCGGTGCCAAAAGTAATGTCTCTATTAATGTTCTCCTTCTGAAAAATGTAGAAATTGAGAGGTAAAAATACCCTGAGAAAGCCAAAACAGAAATATAAACTGAATTTGAAGGACAGGGAGTAAATAATTTTCCCTTATCTTTACTGATAAAGATGACTTGTATTGTTATAGAAACTGGCAATGGCAAAAGCTAATGC